CAGCCTGAAGTACATAGTGAAACCCTGTCTTAAAAAAAAAAAATGCACGTACAGTACATTTTAAAATGCAAACCTATGCCATCTCTAACTGAAGAAATTAAGAAAATCCTAAAAGTTCATTTGACCTATAGATACTTTTGTACTCCAGACATTTTCTCCTAGGAATCACAGTATATTACAAATGACGCTTAAGTTGCTCAGTGAGTACCAAGAGACTGCGTAGCCAGTTATACAATACAGTGTTACCATGTGATTGTCACTACAGTGTACGCCTTTCTGAACCAGTGACTGGAAGGAATGAGGAGCAGGGAGCCTGGGCTTTGGCATCAGCAACTCTGGCCGTGATTGGGAAATGATGATACCACTGGAGAGGACTCTGGCAGAAAGAAAGAGCTCACTTGGAAAGAGGAGGAAGAGTGCATCTGATACCAGGGGGACAGTGCTCAAATAGTCTGTAAACCAGACTAGAAAGTAATGAGTGTACCTTAAAAATATTCTTACTTGACATGTGCTTTTTGAAAGGCTTATTACAGTAAATATAGCTCTTTAGGCAAACATGCACTTTCTTAAAGTGGTTCAGTTGCCATGGCAACATACCTGGAATTTATAGCTCTTGTTTGAGAGGGCTTCCATTTCTACTTTATGAGGCAGAGATCCAAGGCTAAAGTTCTTAACAGCTTCCAGTCTCATTGTATGACGAACTTCTGTTCTGTAGAAAATTTAGACATGCAAAATGCAGCTTGGAGAATTAATCTTATGACTTTACAGTCATAAACATGAATTTTAAATTGGTGTTTTTCAATTTTGAAATGCTGTCATTTAAAAAAATTATTACCAAAACCGCATAGTATAGTTTAACCACCAGAAACAGCCATTCTAAAAAACAACAGTCTCCCACCCTTAGTCCCCAGTAGCAGCCGCTTTTTATGCTTTTGACAGGCTCTATTTTTAGTATTTTTTCCAAATCCTTTAACAGTGCTTAGAAGGCTTCTTGGTTTGCATTACTGCTTACTTTGTAATCTTAGCTGTCATCATTTGATTCCTCAGTATGTAAGATAAAATTTTAGCTCTTTCCCTCTGTTCCCTATCTTTGCATGCATACCTTTCCTCTGTTCCACCCTTCCATCAAACTTACACAGTTTTACTAATTTTATAGAAACATACTAATTTTGGCTTGACCCACATTTATTTGTATATTAATAGTACTATGTATAAAATATTCACAAGCAAACTGTGACATATTATGGATTATTTTTTTACTATATTATATGTCAGTATATTGTGTAATCCTTAATTCAGGATACACATATCCAGCTTCACAAATTCTTGTCATTTCTTTCAGATAAAAACACTTAAAATCCTTTCTTATAGCATATATATGTATGTATATATATATTTTTAAATCTTTTTGAGACTGGGTCTCACTATGCAGTTCAGGCTGGTCTTGAACTCACTTTGTAGCCCAGGCTGGCCTCGAACTTGCAACAATCCTCCTGCCTCAGCCTCCCGAGTGCTGGGATTACAGGCGTGCACCACCATGTCCGGCTTGTATATTCTTTTCATTACCTGTAGTCACCTTACTGTGCAATAGTAGCATACCAGAATGTTTTATTTCTAACTGTACCTTAGTAACCCTGATCATGTTTTCTTTCTTCCACAGCGCATTTTCTTTTAAGTTAGTAAGTGTTCAGAAGCAGCAGCTACTTGAGAATGTGCTGCTGCTGCTCCCCCTCCTGCTTCTCCTGCTTCTCTTCCTTCCCCTGCCCCTTACTCTTTTTTTCCTTCTTCCTAGAAAGAGAATAACTGGGTCAAGTGGAGTTTCTATTTTTAGTTTTTTGAGGACTCTCCTTGCTGATTTCCACAGTAATTGTACTAGTTTATATTCCCAGCAACAGAGCAGAAGGTTTCCTTTTCTTCTGCATCTTCACTAGCATTTGTTATTATTTATTTTGGATATCAAAACCTTAGAAACTGTTTTCTCTAAGAAATGCCTGATCTTGTTGAGAAATCCAATGCAATTCAAATTTTTCATTTCATTTTGATTCTATGAAGTGTTTCTTTTTCTCCTTGGACGCTTATGGAATCATTTCTTTGTCCCCAGTGTGCTGAAATCTTATAATGAGCTTTCCTATGAGTCTGTTTTCATTCATTGTGAAAGCTGTTCAGAAGATTTTTCTCCATTTTCCACTATAGATATTAAGTCCAGTGAAATGTATTTTTTCTTTATTTTTTGCTTCTGTTTTTTCTGGGTTGTTTTCTTGAACTGTTACTGTTTATGTATTCCTCTTCTAGGTTGGCCCTCTGATCTTTTCAATTTAAGTTTCTTGTTACGTTTTAGGTGTATATAATGATAACATTCATCATAGGGAATTTGTACCTGTACCTGATATAATTTGGTTCTTTCTCCCATTCCGTTACCCTCCCTTCCACCCTTCTTTCCCTCTGTATTTATAAAGCTTTGTTTCCATTTTTTCCTTTTCTCATTTTTTTCCTTTTTCTTCCTTCCTTCCCTCTATCACCTCCTTAGCTCCCCTCCCTAGTTGTCTAATTTTTATATTTTATATTTTATTTATTTTTTATCTACTTTTTTGGATATTTTGTTAGCTTAATGACCAGCACATTTTAAATTTCTACTACTTTATTCTCGATTTCTGAGAGTACAGCTTTTCACTGGCTGCCCCTTTTTATAGCATCCTTTTTTTGTTTTGTAAGTAGTCTCCTCTAATTTTCTTTTCTCTGCATAGTTGATATGTTCATATAGGTTGCTCCTACAAATGTTTGGTGATCCTTGAATGTTTTCTTATATTTGCCAAAAGCAACTGTAGACTGACTGGGAAATCCTCTGCATAGATGTGGCTTATACACTAGGCTCAATAAAAAGTGATTTGGAAAAAAGAAAAGTGATTAGATTTGCATATTTTTATATCTGTGTCTTTAGGGGTATATTTCTCTTTAGCTGGTTAGATTCCCCAAAATAGCATGATATGACTTTGATTCTCTCCTGCTTACAGGGCATAAGTCTATTTGTTTTGGAACATAAGGATGTAAAGAATGCTAAGAAAGAAGAGTAGTGGTAATACTGTATATACACCTTTTTTTTGTGGCAGTGATGGATATCAAACCCAGGATGTTTCATGCTTGCAAGTGCTCCATCACTGAGCTATCCCTATTGCCTTGGCATATATTCTGTAACCTTTATTTAATCTCTGATTTTTGCAAAATGTATCTGCTTCTTAGTCTCCGTTTTGTGATGTTATAACAATACCTGAGACTTGATAATTTATAAGCAGTAAAAGTTTATGTGGCTTACAGATCTGGATACTGGAAAGTCTAATATCAAGGTGCCCCAGCATCTGATGAGGGCTTTTGTGATGCATTAAACCATGGAAAAAAAGAAGAAAGATAACTCGAAAGAGCAAGAGATTGAATTTGCATCTTCAAGCCCTTTAATAACTGGCATTAATCCATTTCTGAGGGTAGACACCTCATAATCTAAGCACCTCCCATTCTCCCAGCACTTACATTGAATTTCAAGCTATGCTTTTAGAAGAACACATCCAAACAGTAGCACTCGTAATCAATATGGGATTCGATTTATCCAAGTAAATTGTTCTCCTTCTGCTAAAGAATAAATCTCTAGTTTTTGGCCAGAACAGTTAGGGTAGGCATCAATGATACAGAATCCATAGAAAGAGGATATAGAGCAGTGTTACACATCATCCACTACTTCCACATTCTTTCAGCAAGTCCTCTGTTCTCATCACATTTCCACCTCTGTTCCAGAGGTGCCAATTCCTGGGCCTTTTAGTTGATTGGAATATAAACTAGATGCCTCTCTACTTTCCATATTGCCTATCTTACTGACCATCTGACAGACTGGTTAATCACTTACTAAACAGCATCTACTTAGCTTCCAAACCCTTGTTGCTATTGACCTTTCTGCAGTTTTTTGTCCCTGTACAGTTTGCTATTATTTAAGCATAGCATTGAGCGGGAATGGAGATTAAATGTGTTCAACTTGCCGTCTTTACCCAGAATGTTTAAAGAACTAGTTCTTGCAGTTAAGCAATACTATATTCATGTTTTAAGTTTAATTCGTGCTCTGCACTTTAAATTTAATCCCAGTTTAACTCATCTCATTGTGATTCCTCACCTTCAGTAGATAACTTGGCCGCAAGTTAACTGGAAGAGCCTGTTCAGTCTGAACCTGCTTGATTGTGTTTGCTGTATCCCTTACATGTCTCCATATCTCACCCTTTTCTCAGACCTCCCTCTTGTATTTTTGATCCTGTCATTCCAGGCTCTTCTAGAACTTTCTTCATCGCAGAGATAAACTATATACCCTTATTTTCTGTTTCTCCTAGTCTATCTACTTTTTAACTGCTTGTTTGTAAGCTTACCTGTGCTTCATAAGTTAAAAATGAACTAACCAACTTTCCCTAAACCTTAATCTTCAATCAGACTTAATATTTTGGACTCTTTCCTTAACAAATAAAACATGCTACTCATCTGATTTTTTTCTTTTCATTTTTTTCGTCTAGTCTGGCTGGTCTTCTATATATTTTAAAAAATCATCTTCTAAACAAAACTACTAACCCCGTCTTGATCATACACTGCTTGTTGACCCTTCCTTTCTTGTTTGTTTGTTTGTTTATTTCGTACTAGGAGTCAAACTCAGGACCTTGGGCTTGCCAGGCAGGCACTTGTGCTGCTGAGCTATATCTCCAGCTGACCCTTCTTTTTTTGACTTATGTTTCTTTCTTCTAAATCTTGTTTTGGTTTGCTCAGCCTCCTTATCCCTCTTTTTTCTGCTTGTCCCTTATGTACAGGTTTGTACTTCTTCAGGCTGCTAGACAAGAAAAGGGATCAAATTTTATAGGCCTACTGATATTCAAAGAGACAACTGATTTTGGAGGCATTTTTCTTGCCTTATTAAAAGTGACATGATTTTTTAATAAAAATTTTTATGACATTAATAAAGTTTAACTTTTAATATTTAGGCAGGTGCAGTAAAGGATTATATTAAGATGATGCTGCAGAATGACTCACTTAAATTTCTGGTGTTTGCTCACCACTTAAGCATGCTCCAAGCTTGCACAGAAGCAGTAATTGAAAACAAGGTATGTTGGCATTTTCCTATGAAATAAGTTTTAGAATGCAGATGTTTACTGTTCTAAACATGACTTGTAACTTCATAATTTAGACATGTTTTTGTCTTCTTTAGGTGATGTTTTGTTATTTTATAACTTATTAAATATTTTTCATGTAAATTAT